ATACAGGCGTGAGCCCCCACCATTGCGGCTGATCAATGATTTTTCATTTCATTTTCAGCTGGGCTGTGTTCCTCCAGCCAGGCGCATTTTTTGTTTGTTTGCTCCCTTTCAGAGGAAATTATTCTGCTGCAATTGCTGAATTTCCTGTACAAACTGTTTTCAGTAGCACGAGGGAAAGAAAACATCGAAAGCATGCACCACCTCATTTGTGTGCGTGGGGCAAAAGCAGAAATGTGTATTTCTTTCTGGTTTCGGATAACCTGCTTCCTGACTTGTCACTCGGTGACTTGAGAGATCGGAAGCCTAGAGGACGTAGAATTTTTAGAGATTTTGTTTTTTTTGAGACGGAGTCTTGCTCTGTCACCCAGGCTGGAGTGCAGTCGGCGGGATCTCGGCTCACTGCAACCTCTGCCACCCAGGTTCAAGTGATTCTTTTGCCTCAGCCTCCCGAGTAGCTGGGACGTACAGGCGCACGCCACCACACCTGGGGCCTAATTTTGTTATTTGTTAGTAGAGACGGGGTTTACCCATAGGCCAGGCTGGCCTCGAACTCTGACCTGATGATCCGTCCGCCTCAGGCCTCCCAGGGTGCTGGGGATTAAAGGCATGAGCCACCGCACAGGCCTTTTGTTGTTTTTGTTTTGGTTTTTTGAGAGGAGCTCAGTGCTTTTGGCATCCTCTAGCATGAGGAAAAATCTGGGATCCATGCTCTAGTTTGCTTCCTTTTTGTTTTTTTTTTTTTTTTTAAATGAGTCTCGCTCTGTCACCCAGGCGATCTCAGCTTATTTCAACTTCCCCCTCGGGGTTCAAGTGATTCTCGTGTCTCAACCTCCTGGGTACTGGGATACAGGCACCCGCCCCATGCCTGGCTAATTTTGTACTTTTAGTAGAGACAGGGTTTTGCCATGTTGGCCAGGCTGGTCTCGAATCCTGACCCAAAAAAAAAAAAAAAAAGTCCATCAAAGCACCCATCAAAGCAAGCAACAACAGACCCATCTAGAATTGGATCTTATCAGGGAGGAAGTCTACAGATAAGAGCAGGAATGAGGAAGAGAATTCCCTACAGGTTTTCAGTCTCAACAAACACTGTTTTTTCCCAGTGTTCCCTGGAAGAGAGGTAAGTCCGGAAATGACAAGGGAATCACCCTGGGGCTTGCTAAAGCAAACAACTCCCTTACTCAAGTTCCGGTGAGCCACTGACATGTTTGGAGCTGCGCTCACCACTGTTGCCTAATTTTGATCTAAGTGTTCAGATTCCAACAACTTCCCTTCGTAAAGGAAATGACAAGAAACTCCCCCCTGGATATGCCTTGGAGCATGAGGTAGTGCAGCTAGGAGTGCTAGAAACACACATCACCAAGCTCTCAGAAGTCTGGAGGGAAACATCAGGGGTGTGGTCTCCTTGGCAACAGAAGAAACATCACATTCTCAGCCACCCCGCGGGAGAGACAGCTAAAGTGATGAACGAACAAGGTCTTGCTTAAGACTCCCTTAACATTTTCCCTTAAGGAAGAGGTTGATCGGTGAGTGAAATACACGTTAATCCAGTGCCTCTCTTTCTTTCTTTTTTTTTTTTTTTGAGACGGAGTCTCGCTCTGTCGCCCAGGCTGGAGTGCAGTGGCTGATCTCAGCTCACTGCAAGCTCCGCCTCCCGGGTTTACGCCATTCTCCTGCCTCAGCCTCCCGAGTAGCTGGGACTACAGGCGCCCGCCACCTCGCCCGGCTAGTTTTTTTGTATTTTTTAGTAGAGATGGGGTTTCACCGTGTTAGCCAGGATGGTCTCAATCTCCTGACCTCGTGATCCACCCGTCTCGGCCTCCCAAAGTGCTGGGATTACAGGCTTGAGCCACCGCGCCCGGCCTCAGTGCCTCTGTTTCTTTTGTAAAACTGGGTGGCAGAATGTTTGCAATAATCGTCATCCCTGGTGGGGCGCGGTGATTAACTCCTGTAATCCCTACATTTTGGGAGGCTGAGATAGGAGGATCGCTTGAGGCCAGGAGTTCAAGATCAGCCTGAGTAACAAAGCGAGACCTCATCTCTACAAAAAGTTAAAAAATAAATAAATAAATAAAAATAAAAGAATAATCATCCGTATTTCACTGCACCCTCCCTCCCTCCCTCTCTGGCCTCCCAGAGGAAACCGGTGTGTTAGTTACGGCGTGAATTTCAAGGCAGTTCAAAGCTCTCCCTCCAGTCAAAGCCAACCCCCCTTGCCAATTAAAAAAAAAGTTTCCTGCAATCCTTCTGTTCAACAGGCAATCCCAATCCTTTTCTAGGTTGGGCTGGTTCTCAGGAGGGAAAGGACCATATAGCTATTGTCTAGGGCGAGGCTCTCTCTCTGCAACTGATTTAAAGCCACCGAAAAAGCTCTAACTCAGGATCATGCACCAACCAGCCTCCTGTGGAAATCTAAAATCTAATCCATTTCACCCAGAGGAAAAATTGCCACTTGGACAGCTGAACCGAAGCCATTCACAGCCTCTGAAGAGGCGAGGCCACCCCAAGGGGTCGGAAGATCTCGGCTTCAGATCAAGGAGGTAGATTCTGAGACAACGTTTCAGCCTTGGAAGGAACCGAGGCCTTGAGGGTGGTCGGGGGCCCCTATGTGAACTTGACCGGGACTGGCGGGGCGGGGGCGGCCCCCAGGACAAGGTGGGGATGGAGGTCTCGCCACAGAGCACAGCGGAAACCGGGGACTTCGCCGGGTGGGCCCGGGCGAACAGAGGGCGACTCGTGTATGTCGCAGAGGCGGCTCCGGGGACCCGCGACTTGTCGCCGCCTTTGTGACAGGAACCGCGGAGTAACGCAAGGCTACCATGCAGCCGCCTAGCCCTGGACGAGGTGCGGCTCAGACTTCCGCGCCAGCCCCGCCCAGCTAGTACACAATCCCCGCCCTCCAAACACCGGCCTCCACCTCCACCGCCTCCCATTGGATGAGGGGAGTGGCTCGAGGGTGGCCTGTTCGGACTGCGCCCAATGGAATTCGGGAGGCGGGCCAAAGGGGCGGGGGCAGAGGCGGGAGGGGGTGGCCCCCGGATGGAGCACGCGGCGGAATCCGGGAACTGCACCCAACCTAGGGTGGCAGTAGCGCCCTGGGGTCGCGTAAAGCGGATCGGGACCCCTGAGCCCGCGGGGACCTCCAGGCTGGACATCTGGTCTCCAGTCGTGCGACCCTCGCCCCCAGAAGGACTTAAGCGGGGAGGAGGGGGGAGTTGGTCCCTTCTTTTAGGACTGGTGGTCCCCACACCCCGCTCTGAGTTAGAAGAGGGGGTCCCGGCCGGGTGCCTTGGCTGACGCCTGTAATCCCAGCACTTTGGGAGGCCGAGGCAGGCAGATCACCTGAGGTCAGGAGTTCGAGACCAGCCTGGCCAAAATGGTTAAACCCCGTCTCTACTAAAAGTACAAAAATTAGCCGGGCATGGTGGTTGGGCGCCTGTAATCCCAGCTACTCGGGAGGCTGAGACAGGAGAATTGCTTAAATCTGGGAGGTGGAGGTTGCAGAGAGCAGACATCGGACCACTGCACTCCATCCTGGGCGATATAGCTAGACTCCGTCTTAAAAATAAGAGGAAGGTGTCCCTTACCTGGTGGAGACTTGGGGGCGAGCCGTGCCCCGTTTCCTTTAAATCCCTCAGACTCCTCCCGACCTTCGCGCCCTACTCAGCGCCCCCTCCAGCCGTTTGGGAAGGACCCCGTGCCATTACCCTACAGGTCTTGCAGGGATAGAGTGATTATTTTTACCCAAAAAAAAAAAATTCCCAAGGGGCTCCCCGGGGATTCCCTCTCACCCTACGTGGGCGCCTGGAGCAAGCCTTACCTGCAGCCTCCGCCGCGGCGAGGAGGAAGGCGACGGTCCAGCGCAGTTTCCAGCCCCAGGGCCCCATGCTCGCAGCCTCTGGCAGAAAGTGTCCCGACCCGGATCAGGACCCGCTGTGTCCTCGCTGGAAACTCTGGCTTCCCGCGATTGCACTCGGGGGCCCACGTCATTTACAGCATTTCAACGTGAGGTTTCTAACAGGGGGAGGAGTTTGCAGTGGGGTGATTTTCAAATGTCTTCACCTCACTGCGAGAGGAGGAGTTTTGAACGGCTGATGTGACATCGGCTTTTTAACCCGTGAAGCTCTGATTCCCACTCCAGTCTTTTGAAAGTGCTGCCAGGGCAGGCGACTTGATTTGCTGTATTCGGGTCTCTGGTGAACAGCTGACTCTCCCCCAAAATTAGAAATGCATCTTCTGAAAGATCCCCCTGAAATGTCTCCACGTTTAACTGTTAATATGTTGTTGTTTTTGTCCACAGAAGAATAACAGCATCCTTTCAAAATCCTCCAATAGCCTAATGCCAATCCCCTCTCTGCCTCAAAAGGAAAACACTAGAAATGTTGGGAACTTCCGCCACTCTCTATATTTGCCTTTTCCTTTCTAGGAATTGTATATAGATTTTTAGCTTACTTTCGTTGTATATTGTTTTTACATGGTTATTCCAAATCACCTTATAAGCACTGATCAATAAGGAATTTAAATAAAATCTTCACAAAAGTACAGCCAAAAAAAAATTTTTTTTTGTTTTTATGAGATCCTGCCTTTGGATGAATTATCAGTATAAACATCTGAAAAATCAATTGTACAGATACCTGGAGTCTGGACATAAATATTGATTTCTCCCTTTAGGAGAAGGAGTTAAACAAACAGAAGGGGCGGCTTCCTCCCCCTCAAAGCAAAATCAAAACAGAACAGGGCTTTCACAGTTGAACTTGACCCCCTAAGCCACAGAGAGCTGGTGGAGACCAACTTTTAGAACTGAGTCTCTTTGCGGACTCATGGGATTGCAGAGACCTCGTGCCAAGAAGGCACGTGTGAGAAACTTGCTTGAACCCCACACAGGGCTGGGCAGTCTTGGTGGTTTTCCCCAGGAATGAGCTGGATTTCTCTGGGGTTTTGCACACTGACTTTGGCAGGGAGTGCTAACCTCTCAGCAGGATTTCAGGGAAACCTAGGGGACGAGGCAGAAAAGAGACAAATTGAACTCTCAGTAGGAAAAAAAAAAGATTAATCAGGGAGAATAATTTTACTATTTTTTTATAATTATTATTTATTTATCATTATTTCCAGCTGTGTCACTCAGGCTGGAATGCAGTGGCGTGACCACAGCTCTCTGCAGCATCAACCTTGGGCTCAAGGAATCCTCCCACCTCAGCCTCCGGAATAGCTGGGGCCACAGGAGTGCACCACCATGCCCAGCTAATTTTTAATTTTTTTTATAGATGGGGACTATGTTGCCCAGGCTGGTCCCGAACTCCTGGCTTCACGCAATCCTCTTCCTCTTGCATCATGATGCCTCTCAAATTGCTGGCATTACAGCCATGAGCCACGGTGCCCAACCCAGAAGAAGAAATTGATAACAATAATTTTTAGCAGTTGGCCGGGCGCGGTGGCTCAAGCCTGTAATCCCAGCACTTTGGGAGGCCGAGACGGGCGGATCACGAGGTCAGGAGATCGAGACCATCCTGGCTAACACGGTGAAACTCCGTCTCTACTAAAAAATACAAAGAAAAAAAACTAGCCGGGCGAGGTGGCAGGCGCCTGTAGTCCCAGCTACTCGGGAGGCTGAGGCAGAAGAATGGCGTAAACCCAGAAGGCGGAGCTTGCAGTGAGCTCGGGAGGCTGAGGCAGAAGAATGGCGTAAATCCGGGAGGCGGAGCTTGCAGTGAGCCGAGATCCCGCAACCGCCCCCAAACCGGGGCGAAAGGGCGAGACCCCGTCAAAAAAAAAAAAAAAAAAAGAATTTTTGGCAGTTAAGACACAGTTTCAGAATTAGGGGGCTTGGACAGATAAATTAGCTTTCCCAACCTGTAAAGGGGCCATTAAAATGCTTGAACTTACTTGGCAGGCTCAGTGTCAAGGTCAAATTGAAATAATTAGCAATCACCTAGAGAAGTTTACAAGGATAGGCAAGTTCTAGGAGCTGCTGCAACATTTATAAATGTGTCCCCATTGAATCCCATTCCTTATGCCATTTGCGACATTAAACAAAAAAGTGAAGGCTGGGTGTGGTGGCTCAGGCCTGTAATCCCAGCACTTTGGGAGGGTGAGGCGGGCAGATCACCTGAGGTCAGGAGTTTGAGACCAGCCTGGCCAACATGGTGAAACCCCATCTCTACTAAAAATACAAAAAAAAAAAAAACTAGCCAGGCGTGGTGGCGGGCGCCTGTAGTCCCAGCTACTTGGGAGGCTGAGGCAGGAGAATGGCGTGAACCCGAGAGGCAGAGCTTGCAGTGAGCCGAGATTGCACCACTGTACCCCAGCCTGGGCTACAGAGCAAGACTCCACCTCAAAAAAAAAAAAAAAAAAAAAGATAAATTTAAAAATTAAACTTAAAGCAAAAAATAAGTAAATAAAAATTTAAAAAGTCAGTATCACTGGATTTTTCTTTTTTTTCTTTTTTTTTGGAGACAGATTCTTGCTCTGTCACCCAGGCTGGCGTGCAGTGGTGTGACACCAGTTCACTGCAACCTCCTGTTCCCAGGTTCAGGCAATTCTCATGCCTCAGCCTCCCGAACAGCCGAGATTACAGGTGCATGCAACCACGCCTGGCTGATTTTTGTATTTTTATTACAGACGGGGTTTCGCCATGTTTGCCAGGCTGGTCTCGAACTCCTGACCTCAGGTGATTCGCCTGCCTCAGCCTCCCAGAGCGCCGGAATTACCGGTGTGAGCCACTGCGCTGGCCCAATATCACCGGGTTTCCCTTAAAAAAAAAATTAAGACAGCTGTGCACAGTGGCTCATGCCTGTAATAACAGCACTTAGGAAGGCCAAGGGGGGGTGGATCACCTGAGGTCAAGAGTTTGAGACCAGCCTGGTCAACATGGCAAAACCCTGTTTCTACTAAAACTACAAAAATTAGCCAGGCGTGGTAGCAGGCGCCCGCAGTCCCAGCTACTTGGGAGGCTGAGTCAGGAGAATCACTTGAACCTGGGAGGTAGAGGTTACAGTGGGCCGAGATCACGCCACTACACTTCAGCCTGGGTGACGGAAACTCCCTCTGAAAAAAAAAAATATATATATACACACATATACACACACACATATATATATTAGATATATATACACACACATATATATATTAGATATATATATATATGCCGGGCGTGGTGGCTCAGGCCTGTAATCCCAGCACTTTGGGAGGCCAAGGCGGGCGGATCACTTGAGGTCAGGAGTTCATGACCAGCCTGTCTAACAAGTTGAAACCCTGTTTCTACTAAAAAAAAATACAAAATATTAGCCGGGCATGGTGGCGCATGCCTGCAATTCCAGCTACTAGGGAGGCTGAGGCAGGAGAATCACTTGAACTTGGGAAGCAGAGGTTGTGCTGAGCCGAGATCGCACCATTGCACTCCAATCTGGGCAACAAGAGCGAAACTCTGTCTCAAAAGCAAAAACAAAAAATTATAAGACCTAGGCTCAGTGTGTGTCATGAGTCCACATCTGGTGGTAGACAGGCCCGGAAAGAGTTACCAGAGAGGGACTCCTTTCCCGGAAGGCACTTGGCTTACGTAGTTCCCAGAGCTACAGGTCAGGGCAGGTCTGGAAAAGAGCCACAGAAACTCTGAAAAGCACATTCCTGGGGTGCCAAGGCCTGGCCAAGGTTTCCAGAACAGCGTTCCCCAGGCCCCTGACCTGCCTGCCATGCACGGACACGGCCATACATGGCCCTGAGGACTGAGTCATGCTGATAAATTTTTCTGTTTCTTGGTTTCCATCTGTGCTCCTATAACTAGCTCGTAGGGCTCTTGCAAGGATTAAGTTAAAATATATAAAGCGATTAGAGGCCAGGCGAGGTGGCTCATGCCTGTAATCCCCAGCACTTTGGGAGGCAGAGGCGGGAGGATCACTTGAGTCCAGGAGTTGGAAACCAGCCTGGGCCACATAGTGAGACTCTGTCTCTACAAAAAATAAAACAATTAGCCAGGCGTGGTGGCTCACGCCTGTGGTCCCAGCTACTCAGGAGGCTGAGGCAGGAGGATTGCTTGAGCCCAGGAGGTTGAGGCTGCAATGAGCTATGATGGTGCCACTGCACTCCAGCCCGATCAGCAGAGCCAGGCTACCTCTCAATTAAACAAAAAAAAGGCTGGGCGCGGTGGCTCATGCCTGTAATCCCAGCACTTTGGGAGGCAGAGGCGGGAGGATCACTTGAGGCCAGGAGTTCAAGACCAGCCTGGGCAACATGGTGAGACCCTGTCTCTACTAAAAACAAAAATAAAAACAGGGAGGGTGGAGGGCTAGGGGAGGGATAGCATTAGGAGAAATACCTAATGTAGATGAATGGTCTGGATCTCCTGACCTTGTGATCCGCCCGCATCGGCCTCCCAAAGTGCTGGGATTACAGGTGTGAGCCACCGCGCCCAGCCTGTGCCTGCCTTCTTTCTATTAGGGAGTCAGTAAGTAATCCTGTGGAACCCACTTTATTGGAAAGTTCCTGAACTCCCAAAGTTATCTAATAAAATTCAGGGTGGGCGTTTTCCTCGTTGTAGTAGCCCGCCTTGCCCCTGTCCTCCCATTTTCTTTTTTTTTCTTTGAGACGGAGTCTCGCTCTGTCGCTCAGGCTGGAGTGCAGTGGCCGGATCTCAGCTCACTGCAAGTTCCGCCTCCCGGGTTTACGCCATTCTCCTGCCTCAGCCTCCCGAGTAGCTGGGACTACAGGCACCGGCCACATCGCCCGGCTAGTTTTTTGTATTTTTAGTAGAGACGGGGTTTCACCGTGTTAGCCAGGATGGTCTCGATCTCCTGACCTCGTGATCTGCCCGTCTCGGACTCCCAAAGTGCAAGGATTACAGGCTTGAGCCACCGCGCCCGGCCCCATTTTCTATCTCTCTGATTCACCAGGAGGCTCAGACCAGAATAGGTCTCTGCCCCAACGAGCCCGGCCTTTTGGCAGAAGTGAGCCATTGCAGCTGTGGTCTGGCCTTAAGCCCATCAGTCCACAGAGAAACTATCAGTAACAGCAGAGACCTCGGTGCCTGCCAGTGGGTGGAATCATGAACCTGCCTTGGCTCAGCTGGCATCCGTTATCTTCACAAAATGCCCATAAGCCATGTGCTGACAGACCCCACGGCATGCTGGAATACAACAATATGAAAATTCCACAGTGGAACTCCACAGTGCCTACTAGAATACAGCAAGAGTGAAAGTTGCATAAATACGTGAAAATAAGGCTGGGGGTAGTAGGTCACACCTGTAATCCCAGCACTTTGGGAGGCTGAGGCGGGTGAGTCACTGGAGGTCAAGAGTTCAAGACTAGCCTGGGCAACATGGTGAGACCCTGTCTCTACTAAAAACAAAAATAAAAACAGGGAGGGTGGAGGGCTAGGGGAGGGATAGCATTAGGAGAAATACCTAATGTAGATGACAGGTTGATGGATGCAGCAAACCACCATGGCACGTGTATACCTATGTAACAAACCTGCACGTTCTGCACATGTATCCCAGAACTTAAATGTATTATATATATTTCAAAAAAATGGCTGGGCACGGTGGCACACATCTGTAGTCCAGTTATGGAGAGGCTGAGGGACAAGAGTAGTTTGAACCTGGGAGGCAGAGATTGCAGTGAGCCAAGATCACACCACTGCATTCCAGCCTGGGTGACAAGAGCAAGAGTCTGTCTCAAAAAAAAAAAAAAAAAAAGAATTACCTTATAATCCAGAAATTCCACATCTGAAATATCCTCAAAAGCATTGAAAGCACAGACCCAAAGATACATGTGTATACCATGTTCATAGAAGCATTCTTCAAAATGGCCAATGGTGGAATCAACCCAAGTGTCCATCAGGATAAACAAAATATGACTTATTAATACAGTATCATTCAGCCTTAAAAAGCAAGGAAATTCAGGCATCCTCCAACATGGATAAACCTTGAGGACATAAAGCTGGGTGAAATAAGCCAGTCACAAAAGGACAAATAGGTTTGACTCCACTTCTATTAGGTCCTAGAATGGCAAATTCATATAAAAAGTAGACAAAAAGTAGAATAGTGATTACTAGGGGCTGAGAGGAAGAACGGGG